ATCATCAAGGTTTTGTCAGGTATGTAATTTGACGATACCTTTCGTCAATTCAAAAATAATTTCGTCAAGCATCTTTAGTTAGCTCATAAAAACAAAAACACTGAAATCATGGATATGGATGTTAGATTAAGATTTGTTAAGGAAGATAAAGTTCGGAAGAGTAAGACCGAAATAGTGCCAATGTGGCCTGCCTTAATCAATAGAGACCTAGTCAATGTACCGATCGATCCCAGATCCCATTTGAATTCGATGCATAAAAGCTATGCAAAGAAAAGAGGGCTTAGATGGGATCGAGCATATGGAAAAGGAAGAATGGCGGATGACAGGATAAGTGAATTTAAGGGATACATACCTCAAGTGGAAGTCGAATTGGAAGGTGTAATAACGAATCAAATTTTTTATGTAATGGAATTGGCAAGCTTTGACGTTTTATTGGGAATGCCATGGATAGCCAGCGTATAATGCAACCTATATTGGAAGGACAACGAGTATTGGTGCACAGTATCATCGAAAAACAGGGAATCATCATTTTTAGTTTCAGTCATGCCAAAAAGTTGGATAGAAAAGGACGAAGAGGACGATGGTGAATTAGATGAATTTAGTGATGATGATGAAGAGATTAATAGAGTGGTCGCTATACAAAGATTTTAAATAATGAAGGAAGATGCACAAACCTTGGGAAGGGGCGATGAATGATCAGGGTTCGAAATTGTTCGAAATGAATCACCTGATATGAGATCATGTGAAAAGAGAGTATCGTCGTCAATTTCGGGGCCGGTAATATTGCGTAAGTTGACCATGGAAAACATGGAATTATTAATTATGGGCCTAACCTTTTGCCCGAAGAAAAACAATATATTAAATATCGGTTAATTAATGAGGTGTCAAAACGTTCACATTTAATTTAGGATGTACCGATTTGGTAGAATACGAAGTGAGGACCGGTGGTGTAGAAATACCCCATATAAGATTAAGGCCGATTAGGATTAACAATCCTGAAAAAGCCCAATTGTTTGAAGAGCATCTGAAAGAGATGATAAAGTACAGATTGCTGGAGGAAGAAAAAGGACCATACACGTATCATTGTTTCCCAGTAGATAAAAAGGAAGGTGGTACCGATCGAATTCGCTCCATTGGTAATATGAAACTGCTCAATCAGTACATAATAAAGGATAGTTACCCGCTACCGATCATAAGAGATATATTGGAGAAAGCAGCCGAACACGAATGGTATTCAAGCGTAGATGTGTTCAAGGGATACTGGCAGATACAAATATGTGAGAAAGATCGAGACAAGGTTGCGGTTTCGACGATGATGGGAGTATTACGATACACCGTAATGTGAAAAATGCTAGCAAAACGTTCCAGAGATTGATGGATTTGATTCTAAAGAGAAACCAATAGAAAAAGGTAGCAGCAGCGTATCAAGACAACGTAGGGTTGTGGACCAATGGTGATTTAAAAGACCATATGGATGTGTTCATTGATTTAGCCAAAATATTCGAGAAGGCTGGACTCACCTTTGCCGCAAAAAAATGCTTTATAGCATGTAAAGAATTAAACATGTACGGGTTTGTCGTTAGTAAAAGGGAATAAAGGTGGATAACAAAGGATTAAAAAGAACAAAGGACTGGCCAGACCTGAAAAATCAAAGCGAAGTTAGGTTGTTCCATAGAACAGTGGGGTATTATCAGCGTTTTTTAAGAAACTTTAGTGAAATTGTGAGGCCGCTAACGGATTTGATGAAGAAAGAAAGTTGATTTGAATGGGGCGAAAAACAAAAGAAATTATTTAGTGAGTTGAAGAGTATGTTACTGAAAGATGTTGTGTTAAAAGGACCCGATTGGAATGGAGCAAAAAGTGAATTAAGGCCCTATCATTTATACACCAATGCGAGTGATATGTCGGTTGAAGCAGTCTTGGAACAATATGATGATGAAGTAATCTAATGCCAGTAACGTTTGAGTCGAGAAAATTGAATCAGCACGAAATAAATTATACGGTGATGGAGAAGGAGTGCTTAGTGATAATCTTTGGATGTAATTCAAATGAATGGTACATCGGAGGTAGGTGTTCAATATATAGGTCGACCACCAAGCATTTGAATGGTTATTTAACAAGGCCGAGCTGAAGGGAAGGTTAATGCGCTGGGTATTGACACTACAAGCCTTCGAATTTAAGGTTTGTTATAAGAGTAGGAAAAGGCACGGTAACGCTGACGGATTATCAAGATACCCGAAAAGATGTTTAAATGAAGAAGGAAATGATGAGGAATTTGTAGAAGGTATATTGATGCGTGTGGAAGGTTTTAAAAATAACGAGCGAGATCTGAATTGGATAAAGAATATCTGCAGGATTTTAAGTGGTCACATGAGATAAAAACGTCAGGAGTGCGATTTGGGCAATTAATGTAACAGTAAGTGATTTGGGGTACTCACCATTCTGCCTAGTATATGGACGCGACGCTGTAACACCCATTCAATTAATGTTGGAGACCTATCAGGTCTACGTTGCAAGAAAGGAATGGACGATGGATGAGTTGCTGGAGTACTGAACCAAACAAATTAAGAGATTGGTAGTAGATCTTAAAAGGGCGCAAGTTGAAAAGGATGAATTAAAACATCAGTGAAAAGAATTACATGACAAAAGGGCAAGAGTAAAAGAGACTTACCAAATAGGGGACTTGGTCCTAGTATATGACTTGATGTTGGATACATCACCCCGAAAACTGGATTACCGATGGATGGGACCTTATAGAGTTCGAAGTGTAGGAAAGTATGGCAAGTGTATTTAAATGAGCTTGATGGTTGTGAATTCAAAGACCCAGTAACAAGAAATAGGGTAAAAAAATTATTTACCTGGGATGAAGAACCACGTGATCAAACCGAAGGACAAGCGAACGAAAACGATGAGGTCCTCGAGGACGAGAACCACTGGGGGTCCATCTCCTGTCACATAGTTTTCGAAGAGCCCTTGTATTTAGTAAAAGGGATGCAGATCAATGGCGAAATGCGCCATGAATCGACAAGTGGAAAAGTGCAGTGGGAATGTGGTTCGAACGACTCACGTGATCATATGATCGGGGCCGTATGGAAGATCATAGTGTCGGGCGGCATTAATGAGATCGGGTACATTAGGTACCGTGATCGTCAGATGTATAATAATAACGACAAATTAGGCATAATTAAAAAGTTTATTAAATTAATAATGCATGAGATAGTTTAAGGGTTGCACAAGGTATGCAATAGAAATTTATATGTAAATAGCGAATGTAAAGTATAAGGTGGTGAATCAAAGTAAATTAATAATCAGGGTTGTACAAAGTAGTATAATGGAAAATTAATATAAATAGAAAATAAAAATAAAGAGCTAAAGTTAGTCTCTTGACTAGGAAAAATAAAAAGGCGTTTCAGTATAAGTAAATACTTACGTGCGTTATCCTGGAGTTTGTGAGTAAAGGAGAGAGTTGACTGTGCCAAGCGAGACCGAATATATATAAAGTTAAAGCCGTCTGGGCAAGATTATAGTCACCACGGTGATTGTATAACTCTGTGACAATATGGTATAAAATATATTTTATTAATTTTTGTTGCATTAAAATTATATAGTAATTTCTATGTGCACTTTTAAATTTTAAAATATCCACATTACATTATGCAACATTTGTTTTGATGCACATAATGCAGAATGCCCATCTCTAAGTTTAACACATAAATTAATAAATTCATCATATTTAAAGCAATAAATTTCCTGATATGGATTCTCAAAAGAACTAATGTGATTAATCCATCTAATTTCAGACTCATAAATTAATGCACGAATGAATTCTGTGTCAGGTTTGTGCCGCAGATTTGTAGTTAAAAAAATTAAAGTTCATTGTAGCGTCTAGACTAGTAGTGATGTGCATCATGCGCATGGGAATATTTCGGAGTTTCGGACCATTTCGGAACCTCATAATTCTGGTCCGCATTAGCAGAAAGCAACAGCAGTTAAATCACCACCCTAATTAATTTCGCTGGCCAATCAGATTTCAAGATCTTGTGTAACGAAAAGATGTGCAAAAAATTCAAACCAACAAAAAAACGCTCGTAGCTCAAAATTTTGCCTATGAAAGTGTCTTCTGCGTACTAACAAAAAAAATTCCTCGTGAAATTTTACTATAACTATAACCCTCTAAACCAAACATCAACCTACTGGTGGGACCCTAACCCTAAACTAATCGCGAAACGGTTTTTTTTAATAAGATCACATAGTGATCACATAGTCAGCGAAATTTTTTAGGGTGGTGATGCTAGACTTTTAGTAGAAAGCTGCCATAATGCGGGCCAGAATTCTATAATGCGGGCCAAAATTCCATACGCATGGAATTTGAAATAACGCTAATTTGCACATCACTAGTCGAGACTAAAGTTAGGGATTAGGTAACTGTATAGTAAAATCGTTCAAAGAACGCTTTTTGTTAGAGTACTAATGATGGTTTTTTATGCAGATTTTTGAAAAATACAAAACGCACGTGTGTTTTGAACTTTTCTGATCGTGTTACGTTACGTCGTAAAACAGATATCTGCAATGCATTTAGGGACGTCTGAGTGTACTGTAATATTTGGAATCAAATGGCTGAAATGCAACAATACCGCACGACACGGACCGTGAGAACCGGCGTAATGCAAACTTTCGTTACGCCACGATTTCCCGAAAGCTATTTTCCCGCATGTAACTTACCCAATATCACACAGGTGACAATTTGCTAAAATATATATCTACAGCTAACGAAATGCTGATACTAACCCTATATGATGTCGGGGAAATAGTTTTTCGGGCAAGTGGGTTTCGGGAAAGTGAGAATCAGCGGTACGACGTACATGCATAATAGTATTTTAAAAAAGGTCAATGCTACAGTCACAACAATGATAAGTTCAGCCAATGTTATGCATGTTAGCCCCCAATCTTAACTCTAATTCTAAAAAATCGATCCATATTATTGGTATACTGGGTATTATGTCCGCGTCATACGGTTATATGACTCCGCCAGGAGTCTAGACACTTTTGCAGTAACGTGATGTGGCGTATTGTGGTATATTCGGATAACCTTTTTTGGCTTTATGTTATGTTTCCGGTTAGGGTTCGTGGTTATAGGCCTTGAAATATCATCCCCATATGTAAAATTACGTTCTCGACATTTCTTGTTAGTGACCAAAGGCCGATTTAAACACTAGTTTTTAAGTATTTTCGCATTTTTCTCTTTTTTTCTTCTTGTGCACGTGTTTTGTTTTGACGTCGGGCTGATCCGGGGCGATCAAATTTATTGGCCATTTCTCATGCGCTACATCACGTTACTGCAAAAGTGTTTAGACTCCTGGTGGGTTACGGGAATATGGTGTGCTACTGGGATGGCTGTCACCTAATAGTATCAAATATCTAGTCCCATTTCTTTTGTATGAGATTTTTTGATCAAAAAATTATTACCGTAATTTTCAGGGAATTTACACATAAGGGTCCAAA